TAAAATCGATCCGTTTATTAATGCTAATTCAAAATTTATAGAATTTAAATAATCTCTGAAGGGTAAATAATTTGCATTCTACGTAAAACGTGCATATGAGAGCGAAATAATGATTTACTCAAAATAAGTTTTGATTTAATGACTTGCTCTCCCATGACAGCAGTTAGTAGAGCAGTCCTTGCAACAGTTTCCTAGACAAATTGTAATTTTGCTTTCGCCTCCTGCAGTGAATTTTTTTATTGCCTTCAAATGACTTAAAATCTTTTTCTTAAAACTGCCTAAATTCCTTAGCTAACCGATTAACTTGGAATATAGGAAATGGTTAGAAGTGGCTTTAGCAGAAAATTCGATTAGATTTTTTTTAATTGCACTCTACACCTAGAAGGGCTTCAGATAGACACACCTTTTATTTTACCGTTAGATTCAGAATTAGTTTCCAGGTTGATTTGAACTTGTCTGTCCGTCTTGTTTTTTTGCGTTCTACGTACAGGACGCAATTTTTGAAATATTTTAAAGAAATTTTTTACACCGCTTTTTCGTTGGACCAACGCTGAATGTTACTGAAAATGTTTCGGATTTGGGGGACATTTTCGACGACTTCCCATATAACGCTTTGTTTGCAAGCTATATGAATGACTATTAAGCGAAGTAGTGTAGCGGATTTGCTGATGGGCCACTACCAGCGATAATGTTTTCACTTGTTTTTCATCTATTATTACATATGTAACTTTTTTATGGTGAGCATTATTATAGCGAGGTTACAGTGTCTGCTCGCTAGAGCTCAAGAAAATAATGCGTAATAATACAAGGATATTAGTAAGAGATATAAAAACAAAGAAAAAAAGGTTTATGTGAGCGTTTTGTGAAGAACTCTTTTATTATAAAAGCTTGACTTCTTTCGCATCCGTAGTGTGTAAATCCGTTTTTGTACTTCAAATATTGGTTAAGGATTTTATAAATAACTCAGAAAAACTTTTTGATTTCTTGAACAAATATTTATAAAATTGGAAGATAATTATACCCTGCGTCACTTATTGTACCGGGCATATTGACTTAGCGCGGACGTATGCAACATCTCACGTTCTAAGCTTGTCTATAGGTCTGTCCGTTTGATGTCTGTCCACGTAACGTGTGTTCAAGCTGCAGATCGCAATTCTTGAGATATTTTGATGAAATTTGGTACGCAGACGTATTTTGGCTCAAGGATGAACGCTATTGAATCGGTCCACTTTTTCGACCACTCCCCATATGACGCACTATTTTGGAAAGTCGTTATGTGGGGAAAAATTGCAATTTTCGAAATTTTCGTTGGATCGGCTGGGGCAATTTTTTGAACCGGCTGTCGTCATAAAACCGTTCCTACGGGAATGACAGCTTTTTATGCTGAAAACGTTGAATTTCTAATATTTCATGATGAAAACTGACAAAGAAATCTATCTTACCGAATTTGGACACCGTAGGTCTATTTGCAATTATGGCTTTGCGTCGAAATAATGTGTATTTTTTGGAGCATTATCACGAAAACGAGCGAATAACTGTAGTAGGCGAAGTGCTGTGGGGTATGTAATCGTCGGTGTTGCGTGACTATAATATTCTTAACTGTTTTTAGAGTGCCACGGTGACGACTTTTTCCTTCCTCCATTCCAAGACCAATTAACTATCACTTTTCGAGTCGCTTTGAATGCTTCATAAAGCTAATATGTCTCGAGTTTGATATAAAATATACGCTTATGTAACAATTTCAATGCCTCGATACATAAATGCTTTTTTGTTTGAAATACGAGATTTACCGCAAATCTTTTATTTAACAACTTTGCCAAGTATAATAAAAACGTCCAACATTTAATATTATGTTGAACAAAAGCAGAAGCTTTAAATAAATTGACTGAGAGGGTTTTGCTCAAATTTCATGCAGTGGTTCTATGAAAAGATTGTGACGATAGACTTTGTACTTATGTTGCGTAAGTGCGATAAATTTCTGGTATTGGATACAACATATATATTAGGTCTACGGGAAAGTTATTTCCGTTCCGGTTAAAACCGATTTCAACAAGTGTGCATATATTTATTCATTTAACGCATATTCGGCTCTCGCTTTTTATCATTGCATGTCTACATATTCACCTAATAAATGAATGATAACGGAAATGATTCATGTTGGTATCAAGTGAGATACAACCAATCGTGATTTATGTCACTTTATTTGGTACGAATTGCAGCAAGAAAATGCAGTAGTTGGTTCGATCATTCCGATAAGCCATGCTTTGGGCGATCATCTTTGATCGGCGACAGTGCTGTGAAGATCATGTTAGGGCGAAATCATTGTTCGACGGCATCGGAGATTGTGAAAAGGCTTAATTTAACTTGACAAACCATTTCAGACCGATTTCAAAAATTCAGATTTAATTTAAATGTAAAACCGGACAGAACTTTCCGGTAAACCTAATATATTCATACGCTTACGAGCTTAAGAAAACTTGGGAGGGTGTTTGTTAAGGATGTTACTTAATTCGCGGAAACTTAAACGCGCAGTCACGTTGCGGAGTTGGCAGCAATGACGTGGCCCTATTATTCATCTAAGCATAGATAGCATATTTGATTTTATTATTGTGTTATTGTGTTTAAATCGATATTGTTAGGGTTTTAAACCAAACTGTTTACATTACCCTTGGCGTTAAATTAAATCTCCTCTTCTTTTGCACTTGTGTGTTGTAGGAGTTTGTACGTTTTAATGCTCAGTGACGTTGAAAATCGAACCACCAGTTATTCATGTTACGTCAAGCTGTACATTGTCTCTGTAATCGTAAAAGAAACAATGCGTCTTGAGTCAAGCCCTCCACTAAATCACTTGTGGCTTTAATAGTCTCAACTGCAAGAGAGATTCACTTTTCATATATAAATCAAAGATGAATGCGTGCGTTTTTTTTTTTCTTGTCTTAATATAAGGTTTTTAGGCTTTAAAATATGCTTTGCTATATAAAATTTTTCACGCAACAAAGTGAGTAATGCACTCTATGATAATAACTAACACGTTTTTTATATTTTTATTTTCTTAAAGGGTACTAAAGCTTTGATATAAATAATTACAGTGTTTCATTAAAAGTAAATGTGAGTAAAAAGTATCAAAAAGTGGTTTGCGCTTGGTTTCAAGCATTCTTTGCAAGCTCATTAATTGAAATTGCTCTTTGAGAGGAGAAATAAACAAACTTTTACATTCAGTAGGGAGTATAAAAAATGAAATCTATCCGTTAGTTTGTTTGTAACACGGGCATCTGCACAGCCCTATAGTATAAATGTTAATATTCTTAACTAACTTGAATAGTAAAAGTCATGTATGCACATCCGTCTGTCGTTCAATCTATAGAAATGAAGATAATGATTCCAAAACGTAATCGGGGTAGAAGAAAATATTCAAACCGAAGCACAGGCACCGCTTAAAATAATCACGTAAATTAATAAGAGAAAAGTAAAAACACTCTAGTTACCCACGGCCGACCATTAAACACTTAATACAACTTGGCTTAATGCAATCACTCATAACAGCTTATGTTGGATCCTACACCACTTGTAGGTGATGTGATAGACCACAGAGTATATTGCTTAAGATAGACCCACCTGCGTGTCTGTCCGTTGGTCCGCCTTCATATGGAATTTGGATCACATAGATTTATTTTTGAGATTATGGCACGCCCTTATATGGAGAGAGAGTCTCGTTTGATGATCGAAACTAAAAATGATGAAATTTTTAGAAAGTAAATTATATTTGCGAACCTTGGGTCAAGCCATGTAATGTTCTGGCGTCCTGCAATATGAAAAGCATGCCATGCATGAAGTCAATGAGTCATTTTAACAAACCAAGTGAGTAATTGTACTAGGCGAAGTGGTGTATCTAAGGGGACGCCTTGTCCGAGTATAATGTTCTGACTTGTTTTCATACCCCGTTATATGGGAAGTGCTCGAAAAAATACTTTGATCCGAACAATTTTCAATAACGTTCGTTATTGGACCGAAACGCGTCGATTTGCCAAATTTCGCCAAAGTATTTCAAAAATTTCGATCTGCAGCTTGAATAGAAAGATACATGGAGACACAGCATACGGATAGGCAGGGCTAGATCAATTCAGATTACGATTCTGAAACGATCAGCATAATAAAAGATAGGCCTATCTGAAGTCCTTGTAGAAGTCGCATACATGGACACGAACTTGATACAACGTTGCAAGTGAGGTAGAGTATAAAACGATTTAACTTTTATTATTTTATCATAAAACTTGGTCAATAAGATCAATTTAACCAGAAAATTAATTGCACCAAAGTTTGAACAAAGTATGCCTATCTTGTGTACCTCAGTCCACGGGTGAAGTGAGCTTTACTATGGAAACCAAGTATAATTTATGATATTCTATTACGATAATAATTTAAGAAATTAGTTAGTTGCATTAGATATAGGGTATCTAACATTTGGCCTTGCTCCACTGCAGTCATCTTGCTTGTTTTGCGCTACGTTAGTGATCATTTCCAAGAAACGCTTTGCGAGCATAAGCATAAGTGAAAGTGAAGAAAAGAAAAACAGAAAGTAACCCTTAGCTAACGTCCAATGGAATATTTTCTATGTAATAATGCCAAGTAATGTCGTTGAGTAAAGAGTAAAATCTTTCAACTGCAAGAGTTAATAGGAATTTTTGTTAAAATTTTAATTCAAATTTGTTTTATTTATGCGTCAATGGCTTTATGCATAAGGTAATGAGTGGCGAGTTCTTGGAACAAAAAATCGATTCAAGTCGTATACAAACTTCCTGGTTTTTACCGCAACCTTTTAATCGTTCGCTGCTTACCTAGTTTTTATTTAAAAATATGTTTTACGTAGGTATGTAATCTTTTAAGTAGTTACGAAATTTTCAAATGTTTTTTGATTCTTGTACGCAATGTAACTTAAGTTAAAATTTCGTCTCTTTACAAATCTGACTGACAACAAACAATGTGTTTATTAATTGACACAGATGCCCAAGGAGTTGAAACAAAGGATAGAGGATTACTTTCAAACTTCTTGGTCCCTTAACCATGGTATTGATATCTATGAGGTATGTATGTGCAAACTATTTATTCGATTCCAAATCGCGAAAGATCTTTTTTTATATATTACTCTCCAAGTCGTGCGATAGATTTTTAAATATTTACTTTTTTTAGACTTTACGCGAATTTCCGGAAGAGTTACGTGGCGATGTTTCGATGCATTTACATCGAGAGATCTTACAATTACCGATCTTCGAAGCTGCTTCTCAGGTACATTTACATTTCTTTGTCGATTTTTTACTTTAAATGGACACAACTGGTCGCCGAAATTATTCTAGGGCTGTCTCAAGCTGCTGTCTTTGCATATCAAAACTAACTTTTGTGCTCCCGGGGAATATCTAATACATAAAGGCGATGCTTTGAACTACATTTATTACTTATGTAATGGTTCCATGGAGGTTATTAAAGATGATATGGTTGTCGCTATACTGGGTGAGTTATGAAATTTTCCTCTTTTCCGCATCGCATTAAATGAATCGTTTTGTCATTTGCAGGGAAAGGTGATCTGATTGGTCCGGATATTAATGTGCATCTTGTAATCACTTCAAATGGTCAGATCACGGCAACAACAAACAGTGCTGGCCAGGATGTCGTTGTGCGCAGTAGTAGCGACGTTAAGGTGTGACACACACATCACGTCACAGTATTATGCTTTTTATTAATTCGTCTCTTTGTCTGTGAAACTTAGGCTCTTACTTATTGCGATTTGAAATGCGTTCATATGGGAGGTCTGGTAGAAGTGCTGCGTCTTTATCCAGAATATCAGCAACAGTTTGCCAATGACATACAACATGATCTTACTTACAATTTGCGTGAGGGTTACGAATGTCAAGACACGGACATTGGGCCGTCCTTTCCTTTACCAAGCATTAGCGAGGATGATGAAAATCAACAGGAAGGGGAGGACGATGTAGAAGATGTTGGACAAGCGACTGTAACAACAGCATCTCCACGTCACAGTGTAACTACACCGTCACCCATGTTAGGTCGCTCACCTCTACTGGGTATGAATAGTCCGCGTTTAAGTAAATTACACCAGCGAGGTCGTTCACTATTAACCTTACGTGAACGCGTTGAACGTCAACGTTCCATAAATAATAATTCCAGCGTTGACACGACATCTCTGGATGAGGATGACAACGAAGGCGGAAGTGACGAATCTAAAGCAAACAGAAGACATTCTCTTGACAGACTGGACTCTCAAGTGTCGACCTTGCATCAAGACATGACCCAGTTAAGCCTTGAGGTACGCAATGCGTTACACGCTTTACAAGAAATGACTTTCTCAACAATGGCATCTCAAGCAAGTTTACGGCTTCCACCTGCTCGATCTATACCAAATATTAGTGGAAACGCTATGATCGGTGTAAATTACTCATCCATTAGCAGTGAGGATTCGGCTTTACAACGTAGCTCATCGCATCCTCCGGAGATTTGGGGACGAGAAATAGAAAAAATTAATGAAACAACTTTAAAGACAGTAATACCGGATCATTTGCAAGAAAAACTGAAATGTATAACACATCCGGTCAAGGAAACTACAAAAGTCTCACGATTCACTCAAACTGAATCTTATAAAATTGATATGCCAGCCATTGAAAAGTTTGTTGTCTCTAATCCCCGTTTGGTTTTGGGTCTTTTGGGTATTGATATGGCGATCAATAACGAGCTAGACATCTTGCAACAGCATCAGTCCTTGCAAGTGTCACCACTGAATACGATTGAAGAAGTTATATCACCGGCTGACTATTCTACAAGTTCGAAAGATCCGCTATTAGATAATGGATGTTCAAAGTATTTTCCAACGTCCGACGACGAACATGTCAATGAATATCTTTGGGCTATGAAACAATCTGTCAGTAACAGTAACTGTTGCCGATCAACCGATGCACTGTTACAATCCGAAGAAGTCTATGAAAATTCTACACAATCGCCGATACCGGCCAAGTCATTAAATTACAATAACTCCTTGAAGGACGAAGTATTACCCAGTCAAGGAGATTCGGTGCAAAAATCGCAAGACTTTTCGCTGCTTAGCCGAAAAAATAGCAACTCTAGCTTGTCTAGTAACAATAGCAGTAGTCCAGGCAATTTAAGGCCGACGAGTGCGTTAATAAGTCCACCGAAACCTATTAATGGATCTGCGAAACGTGCCTCTTGGAAATTGCAAAGATCGAAAAGTGGTGAATACAAGAGACTACCGGAATTGCCAGCAAAAGAGATCAATTCAATATCGCCATCGACCAGTGTCCAAGAAACTTTCAATGTTTTAGCTAACCGTCGTTTTATGCGATCAAATTCAATGGCGACTGACACTAATACTAACAACAGCTTGCATGCAACTAAGCGTCATACGCTTAATACCGAGCATTCTTCACTGAGCGTTAACAATCATCGACGTAATACTTCGCCTTCAACTTTTACTGCCTATCGTTTCTCGGCTGGTGATGCAGACAAATTAGAGAAAGGTCTACGCGACCTATCGTCGACACATTCACTGCGAGACGCTGCATCAACTTGAATTTATCTACAAATGTTGATAAATTCGATTGCTACGCACCCAGTAATTTTTGTGGTTAGCATAGGCTTACAGCTAAATTCCAAATTGTAAGCTCAATATTTAACTACGCTTCAGATACGGAAAATATGAACCCTGTAAAGGTCAAATTGCAAGTGATAGAATAGCGGGGCGAGAGTCATTAAACATATCACATTGAGTGTTTCCATCAAAATACTTTTCTTTTTTTCCTATAAAGCTGAGTTGCTATTCATTAGGGGTAGGGTCTTGACAAGAAGCAGGACATGGTCGAAGATAATTTGAACCAAAACTTATCGTACATACTCTTTAGATCTGATAATCCTTCCTTCCTTCCGGTCCTTTGGATTTGTTACTTTTTTTTTATCCCCCATCAACGCCCTTAATTAATAAATTTGAATCATATGATGTGTCGATTCAAAGGCAATGTAGGACTTGGCGCAAGAAATACAATATGTCGAGTCTACGTCGACATGGGAGTGCAAACGTGTTAAGATGTAAACTGTGCAATAATGTTTGTACTATTAATGATAGATTTTATGTATTTGATCTTATCTGCTGGGATATTTTTTTTTTTTTTTTTGCTGATATTAAACATTCCCAACCTATAGGCGAGCTTGAGGGAATCCCTAATGAATATTGTTCAGAAAGGGCAGATGTCTAACTACTTTGTTATGCAGATCGCAAGTAGATGCCCGCCGGGATAAAAAAAGTGTGTGGTAAGACTTTCCCATTTAAAGCCGCTTTGCAAATACTTTCCTTCTTAGGTTGACTTGATTGTCTCAAATATCATGGCCATGTCTTTGATGGTCAATGAGATAGGCTTGTTTACTCTCATCTAAAATAGGGTATCTTTCGTATTCGTCTTTATCTCTATACTGCAGGGATTAATATAATTCCGTGAAAAGCCACAGGGAATTACGCCGATCTCCATCAGGCTAGGGAAACGCTTACAGAATCATTTAGGTTGGATTTTCGATGAAAAATTCCCGCACACAATGCCGGTGTGAAAAATTGCATTAGCATGACCAGTCAGTAGGAATTCACATTCTTAATGAACCGTTCAATTTCAATGCTTAAAGAAGAGTCTTGCGCTTCTTTTCAAAATTTTCCTTTGCGACATTAACTGAATTAAATCGTCTTCTATAGGGTCAATTTGAAGTGCCAAATCCAACTTTATTCTAAAGATAAAAAATATCTCTCTTGCCATTAAATCATTCGTCAGTTTTTTCAAGATTCTCATCGATTTGTTCTGTACGAAAACCTTCCTTCTTTAGCTGCACCGTCCGATTTTTTAACCATTTTCCTGCATGGCTTGCCACGTTTGCTGTGTCTTTGCTTTTAAGTCGAATACTTACAGCCAATCGTTCTTCCCCTTTTTGCCTAGTAAAATTTTCTCATTATTATCGCGCCAACACTTTATAAAAAGAATAACTTCTCTGTGGTTGGCCAAGAAATCCGTTGAATATGTTCTTAGACAACGACATTAACTGAAGTTTTGCCTAAAAATTATTTTTGAAAAAAACAAAATTTCTTCCAAGCGTTACCCTTTTACGATCAAGAAGCTCCGCAAGAGCCATCGATCTAGCCGTATTTGTCTGTCTGTCCGACTGACGTCTGTTAGCGTATTTTTGTGTTTAATCTACAGTAAGCGCCGACATCATTTGGTTCGTGTCTGAAAACTATTAGAAATGGTTCGGATCGTACCACTTTTTCAACCACTTCCCATACAGTTACTTATTTTGGAAAGTCGATACATGAATAACCGTAGGCCGATGTAGGGGATTTAAGAAAGGTGGGATAACAAGATCAAAATATCAAGCTGTTATTTGTTGATCACTGATGAATGATTGATTAGTGAGAAGAGAATGTTTTCTTTTATCAGTAGGTATAGCAAAAGCGCTAATCTGAATTTATTTCCAAAAAATTGGTTCGCTACTACCTTTGCCTGTTTAAGAGTATCAATTATTTGATTGCAGTAATAAACAAAAAACAAAGCGCAATAATTAAGAGCGGACTTAATTATGTCGATGTTAACGTTCTGTATGCATTTTATTTTTTAAAGAACCTCATGTTTATATGCACTTCGAACAATTTTGTCAACGAAAATCCTCTAGGAAACAGAATTGTCTTGAGGAGGTGTCTTTATTTATGATAAAAATCGCAAACCGAGGTTGAGCAAAATGAACAAACAATAGCTAATGCGAGCGATTTATATCACAAAGGAACCTAAAAGTAACTCCCATGACATTTTGTAATTATTGTTGGCAATGTTGGAGATTTTTGATGAAATTTTTCCCACTATTTTTGAGATTTTTGATTGAATTGTTCCTGGTATTTCTTTGACAGATGTAGAAAAATTTTTTTACCTACCCTTCAAATTTTTCTTTTTACTTAACGTCTTAAACAATGCAAGTTATCAAGAAAGATCTGCGACAATATTTGCCTATTCCGAGGATATTTTAGGAATTTAATTATTATCAATCCACTTTGTGTTAATTCCCGACTGTTCGCAAAAATAATTTCCAAGTCTTTGTTAAACTGTATAATTTTTGTGTTCAAAAAGTTTCTTGCAATAGCTGGACAGAAGGCCACAAATAAATTAAATGAAACCTTTTCTCTGCCGCTAGATTTCTGCTTGCGACGGCTGTGAGTGACAGAAATAATTTCAAAAATCAAGTCCGATGATTGGTTGTGTGTTTGCATGCTTTTCAGAAAAAACTCATACAGCCTCACAGAGAGTGATGTGTTTAAGAAGATTACCTTTGCACAACTGAAAAGTTAAACAAACACAAATTTTACTCTTAATCACTTTGCGTTTTAATCGTTAATGTTGATATAAATTTTTAAGTAGTTATCGTTAGGTTTAATTGTGCCAAAAAATAAAAACAAATTTAGTAAAGAAATAAAAATGTGTATGCTTGGTGAGAATTTCAATCGTTACATACACACGTGCATACAAATTATAAATACAAATGTAAATCACTTTATAACGAATACGCTTCTATTATATATATACATATATATAAATTAATCTATTTAGATAAGAAATAAATGTTTTTAATTAAATTTTATTCACATTTATGTAAGTAATTGTTTATCGATGTTTATTAATGTGTTAAAATTTTCATGTGAAGAATTTAAATAAACCAAAGGCTGTTTTATATATGAGCATTCAAAGTTATCTTAAATATTGAAGAGACCTCAGTGATGAGGTCATGCATACAATGACTTAAAAGAACAATTAAATAAAAGTTTTTATTGACAGCATTTTATACAGGAAATAGGTTTCCAAGCAAAGTTTACTATATTTAATAAAAAAAAAAAAAAAAAAAATTCTTTTCATGAAATTAAATGTTTGATTGAAAATTGAAAATAAACAAAATTCAACTTGACTTTATTTGAGGGAAATTAATTGACCTGTAGAGCGAACGAATAAATTAATTAAAATCTTAGCTGTCATTAGCTTCCAACTATCAATAAACACAAATCGTTTCCAATAACATTTCTCTAGATTGTGTTATAAACAGTCAGATTCTACTACGTTGACTACATTTAATTGAATATGTTATGTTAGGTTAATCTTCTTCTTCATAAGAATATTATATATAATTTAACCTTCCACACACATATATATGCACTCATTTATTTAAACAGTTTTTTAATAAAGTACATGTACAAAATTAAATTTGGCTGTAAATTTATCTTTACAAAAAAGAACAAGCATTCCATTCAATTGTTGCGTTTTATTTAATGCGTACGCACATACATAGTAATCGGCGACAATGGCACTTTACTTCCTTTCGAGCAAGTCTAAGCAAAATTGGACCAACTTCTTTCTACAATAATTTGCGTGTAAATAAATGCGTTCCGTTTTTTCGATAAAATTCAATTTTATTTAAAATACACTATTATTAAAAAACTGGTTGCCCGGTAGTAAGTTAGCGTTCACTTTATTAACAATCTCATAAGTTAACTTATCTAATCCGGGACATGCGATGCGTTCTTCGAGCTTTCGTTCACAAAAACTAAAATTGTAGTTATTGTTTTTTATCTCATGACACATATCCTCTTAGGCAGCTTTGGGTCTTATTCCAATATTCACTTATTGTTTAATTAGGTCACGAGTGTTCCATATATTACAGACACACAGAGACACTTTTTATTCTCTGATTGTCTCTGAAGGCCCGTGTCTTTCGGACACTCGGATACAGTAGACTTACCGTTACACGTCTGGCAAATGCTTTCGACTAGGGTAGAGCGACTTTATCACTCCCAATAACTATGTTTAACTCCTGTGTTGACGACCGACGAACAAGTTTGAAAAAGGGCTTCTTATTCAAGTAGTCCGGTTTGTCAAGTGGCATTACTATGCCCGTCCCAAAATACCCTGATTTATGCTAAAATACGTAATATACTTAACTACTGTGTGTGGGACCAAAATGAGGAACGTTTTTGCTCCTCACAAGCTTAATAATCGAAATATGGCCCACGTCATTATTATAAGGGCATTTCCCATTTATCGGTTAGCTTATGAACGCCTTCACCTTATTTTTGGAGACAAAGCAGTGGCAGTAGGCACAAGCAAGGACAGGGCAAATCAAACATATTTTAACCAAGAACGCAGTCGTTATTAATACATTTTATATGTACAGTCGAGAAATTTGCAGATGATTGGGTATATAAATTTTCACTTCATTTTATTTATATAAACTTTATGTTTTCATCTCCTTGATGTAAAATTTTTAGTGCCATCCCATCTACATCAAATTTTTTCATCTCAAGCTTTGCTTGGTGTTTTTTTTTCTTGTATTCATTTATCTTTCATGACTCGAAAAATTATCTGTCAATATGAAATTTATGTCTCCATCATGTTGATATAAATTTTCCAAATATATTTTGTTGATATAAAATTTTTAATGTCACCGTCTGTACCTAAAATTTTTAACTCTGCATGTCGTTGATATAAAATGACGGCCGCATGCAACTTTCGTCTTCATTTAGTTGGTGTAAAATTCTTTTCATCATCTTGCATATATTTGCCACTCCATCTGGTTGACAAGAAACACTAGCCGTCATCTTGTGTACATAATATTTTTGTTTCCACTTTGTTGATATAACATTTATATATTCATGTCGTTGATATATAATTTCGGGTGCCATCTTGTTTATATAAAATTTCGGTGTTTATCTTATTTTTGTTTCTATACTATTGTCATCAAAACCGTTACTTCATTTTCTCTGTACAAAATTTTGGTTTCCATCTTGTTGATATAAAATTTTCGCCTCTATATTGTTGATATAAAGATGGTGAGGGTATCTTGTTTACATAAAATTTTTATTTCCATCTTCTTGTTATAACATTTGTATCATCATCTTTTTGACATAAAAATCGGGGCGCCACCTTGTATATATAGCAATTTGTATACAATTTTTATTTCTATGCTATTGATGTAAAAATCTTGGCTCCATATTGTTTATATTAAGTTTTTGTTGATATAAAGCCCAGGACGCCATCTTTTTTATATAATATTCTTGTTTATATTATATACTGTGCACTTTATTTTATCGATATAA